ACCCCAGGGGTGTTCAAAGTTGACAGCTTTAAGACTTGTGGACTTCAACTCCCAGAATTCCTCCTCCAGTCATGTTGGCTCAGGAACTCTGGCATATGAAGTGTGCAGGTCTTAAAGCTGTCAAGTTACAACAAACAAGGAAGGAACAGGAGCAGAGCACTTGGCTGTTGGAAGAAGTCCAGTGCTTTGTTCTCTTTGACAGCCACCTTGTTTGCAGTGGGATGGGGAGAAATCCATGGGTTAGAGGGAGAAGAAAGCCAAGCTTCTGCTAGGGATGGTCTTCCCTCCCTCTAACCCATGGATCTCTCCCCACCCCGGTGCAAACGAGGCGGCTGTCAAAGAGAATGAAGCATGGGGCTTCTTCCAATAGACGAATCCTCCGCTCCGGCAAAGGAAGTGGGTGGGTGGGGCAAGCATGGTGCAGAAAGGCAGGGCAAGAGAGTGAGAAAGCAGTGACCGGACAGGCAGGGTGAGGCAGCGAGTGAGTGGCGAGTGGGGGCCGACCAGGGGAGGGATCGTACTGGTACAGTGGCTTCTGGCTCTAACAGTATGCAAACGTACACCTGATTTCCGCTACCGATCCAGTCTGATAGGAACCCACCACTGCTGCCATCCCAAGCACCCCTATGCTGATAGCCCCAACTTTATGTTGGGAAATCTGACTCCCATAAAGCAGTCAAGATGGAATGAGGAAAATGTGAAGTGAGCAAAAACTGTGTAACTGCCTATCTTTATAGGCAGACCTAGTCCCATTTAAAGAGCACTAAAGCAACCTCTCTAATCAGTTTCAAAAAGGAAATAAAACAAGCTGTGAGCAATGAGATGTGGGGGAACATACTGGAGAAAACCACAGTGGGGGAAATATGTTTACCACTTATTTTCTTCATATTATCACAGACCCCGCACCCTAGCAGGCCTGGATGAAGTCTCTGGGCTCTTCAAATTTGCCACCAATGTAGCAGCGAACCTACGAATTACAGGAATGACAGTCTTTTTTTTAATGTCTTGCACAATAATATTGAGCACTTTCTTGTATCACTTGGTCCCTCATGGATTCTGTAGGTGAAACTGTGAGTCTGCCACCATTCTACACACTGCCAATTTACCACCAATGCTTCCCATAGCCATCCTGCCACCATTACTAAAATACAGCCAAGGCAACCCAGATTCAGCTGCTCCTTCTCATTGCTCATGTCTGATTTTAATTTTTACTGATACCACTCAAACAGTGATGCACCTTCTCTGCAATGGTACAATGGTACAAATTCTGAAAATTGTAAGCCTTGCAATGGGGTGGCTGTGAGGAATTAGAGATGAGAGCGGCTTAGAAGATGTATAGAACTGCTACGCTATCCATTGCAACATTTTGGTGGGTGATTTCATATCCTACAGATTACAAAAGTATAATACTTACATTTCTAGCAACACTCAGTCACACAAATAATGCAACAATGTTCCAAATATTATTAAAAAGCATAATTTAGGCAAGACTAGCACCAAACTGGGGTACCCACTCAGGAAAGGCTCCTTAATAGTGGTAGCAACCAGGAAACGTACTCATGCATGGCAACATCTCTGCTCCATGTCCTTTACCTTGAGGGTGATAAACATAGCGGTAGTGGCAGCATCAACCCAACCCAACTAATTGGTTTCAACACCAGGAAACGTACTCATGCATGGCAACATCTCTGCTCCATGTCCTTTACCTTGAGGGTGATAAACATAGCCGTAGTGGCAGCATCAACCCAACCCAACTAATTGGTTTCAACACCAGGAAACGTACTCATGCATGGCAACATCTCTGCTCCATGTCCTTTACCTTGAGGGTGATAAACATAGCCGTAGTGGCAGCATCAACCCAACCCAACTAATTGGTTTCAACACCTGCTACTATGCTGCTGGTGTTGGGATTTACCACTCTGATTTCAACACAGGGCTCTGAGGTTATGCTGTGGAACTGTTACTGACATGTCCAGCTGTTTGAGAGTCCAATGTGCTTGCTATTTCCTGAACTGAGCTTCCCATCAAGATATTATTCCCTTCCCTCCCCAAATCTGAAGAGTGCCATCTTACCTCAGTTGCTAAGAAGGCATCCACCTCATTGTGGAAGGTATCAAAAAGAAGGCTCAGGGCCTGCCTATAGGAAGAAGCAACAACGGACAGGTAAGAATAGAAAATGGAAAAAAGTTTGTTTCGTGTGGAGGATTGTTTTATGTCAAGTCAAAGCCTACATGCACACTTCTAGCTCAGAACTGTTTGTCCTGATTAGCAATTCTTCAGGTTTTCAGTCATGAGTTTTTCCCAGCCATATTTAGAGCTGTCAAGGTTGAACATGGAACATTTTCATGCTAACCATGTGTCCTACCAGTGAGATGCAGTCTTTCTCCATATGGCCTGCAAAAAATGGCTGGTCCACATTAAGAACTCAGGTAGTGCTATGTCTCTTTATGTGTCTTTTTGTCATTTAATATTAGACTAGACAGTCCACAGAAGTTCTATTTGTGCTAAGTTTCTCTACCAACTACACTGCAGTTTCATTCATATATTTTTACCTGGTGATGGTCTGCTTGATTGGCCTCTCTTGGAGATGAACATAGTGGTTGAGTGTGGAAGGGCTTTGGTCATCATTCACCTACATTAAGAAAAGCAGTTGCTCAACAATACTTGACGTCTCTCTATTACACCTGTGTTATTGTTCGATAATGAACCAAGCTATAAATCTCTGTCTTGGGCCAACCAGGTGATGCCATCAAGATTCTTATCCAATGCCATGAGTGTGTTGGGGTTTGGATTAAGACTTCTGCTTCATCCTGGCAAGGCCAAGAGTTTTAAAGCTTCCGACCACTAACCCTCCCCACAAGGATCCAGAGATTTTCCATCTGCATGGGGAAACATTTAGACAGTGTGCAACTTAGGGCTCCTCCTTCGCTCATATCTCTTGCTTGAAGAATCAATGGTAGGCATGTCTAGGAGGACATCCTTACAAGTTCATTGTGTGCCAATTTCACCCATTCCTGGATCAGGAGGCTTTGCTCACAGTGACTCAAACCTTAATCAACTCCCATTTGGATTACTGTAATGCACTCTGGGCCTGAAAGGCATTCAGAAGCTGCAGCTGTTGGGATTTCTTTTTAGGCCTATATAGCACCACTGCACTAGCTCCCAGTGGACTTTTGGGAGGTGCTGGTCATTACCTATAAAGCCTACATGGCACAGGGGCCAGGCTATTTGCAGGACAACTTGATTCCCATACTGTCTGCTTACCTCACTCATCTATCATGGAGAGCATATTTCAGGTCACTTTAATTATCTTATTGGACCCCAGAGTAAAGCTTTCTGTGTGGAAGCACCTGCTCAATGAAACAACATCCTCTGGAGATCCAGATGGCCTCAGCCCTTTTAGCTATTTGTAAGCTATTAAAGACCTGGCTGTTCCCCCAGGTAATTTGGGCCAGATGATTAGATGAGTTCTGTTGGTTTTGAGTTGGGTTGTATTAGTGACCTTGGACCTCATAGTTGTTGGTCAATTGTTTTTAACCCTTATATGCACACCCTGAGCCCTTTTTTGTAAAATAGCGGCCATATACATTGATCAATTGAATGAATGCATAAATAAATAATGTTTGGAATGTTTATTTAATTTGTATGCCGCCCCACTCCCAAGGGACTCGGGGCGGCTAACAACCAAAAGGGGGGAGGGGATGCTTTTGTAGTAATGCTTTTACTACAAAAGATATTTATATGCATAAATGCTTCCCAAGAGATAGAGCAGTGAATTTCTTTCTGGCAAAAGGATTACTTACTTATTAATTTGCAGGAACAATTTTGTTTCTAGAAAATAGTTTTTAAATTTGATTTAGGGTTTTTAGGAAGCAGAATAGACCTGTAGGACTGCCCTCTGAAAAAAGATATCTTAAGATGCTAAACAGATGATTTTCTGGTCTGTTATACAAAAATATTAAGCAGAGGGTTCACTTCTGAGCATTTAATTTTTACATACATAGGGCTACACTTTTATACATCACTATTGGCTTGTTAACATTCTGTTTATTAAAGCTGTTGTCCTGAAATTATACCACTGATAACTTTTCTTATGTTAGGGAGATGCAATTTGTCCAACACAAAATATCACTGTAGCAGTTGCAATGCAAGGCACACTTTAATTGCAGCTGTATAAGTATAAAATGAAGCTATTAGCTCTAACAAGTGTTCTGCATAAACAGAAACAGACAGGTGTGATTGTTGTTCTCACTTCCCAGGTATCGGCACATTTGATCAAAGTCATACTTGTACCAGAGAGGTATTCTACATTGCCTGTTTTTAAAATGCTACACTTTGCCTCCCACTGTTTAGAGCTGTTGGACAGGATGAAATGAAAGAGCTGGCCCACAACTGACATCAACCCACTGTTCACATCTACCAGGAGGGCATTTAAACAGGAGTTAAATCAGGCATTTAAACAGGAGTCAAGCTGCCAGATGCCAGAATTACTATGATGATTAATAATTGTGAATTGCATCTGATGACTTCAGGGGAAATGTTAATAATATCACCGGATATTGTGCAGGGCTGAACTTTGGGTATTATCCTGGGCAGATTTTTTTGGTGGAGGGAATCTTTCAATCAATCAATCAATCAATTAGACCTTTATTCTCAATGCACAGCATGTGTATAAGGAAATTGAATAAGTCTTCCTTGGTGCAGCCGAGCCAACAACACAGAATACGTCTCAATAAACCAATAAGTAAAAAGAAATCCCTAAACCCATAAGTAATAAACTAACACACATATCCTCATACATACATATATGTATATACTATTATATTACACTGGTATATACTTTGCACGTTACTCTGACACTGCAAGTCTATCACATTAAGCCTGATTGTGGTGTTACGTTGCCTTTAGAAGTCTGACAGCTCATGGATAAAAGCTATTTTTCAGTCTATTCGGCTGGCTGTGCTTCTGGCTATCTCCTGCCCGATGGTAAGAGAATAAAGAAATACTGTCCAGGGTATGAATTGTCCCTGAGGATTTTTCTCATTTTGCTGAGACAGCTTATCTTTGCTAAGATATACGTGAAGACTCTCAGACAATTAGCATCACTTTTTAGGATATATTTTATTAAAATGTAGGCATTATACTTTTGGTATAATCATTTTAATCTCAGATACTTCTAAGGACATAAATAAGAGTCTAAGACACTAGAGAGCATGTTGTTACCTTCTAGCATTAGACCAGGGGTGTCGAACTGGTGGCCTGAGGGCCAGATGCGTCACATGCAGGCCATGCCCACCCCAGCTCCACGAATGGGAAAAACATCGCGAAACATCACATGATGGCAATGTGATGTGTTGAGCTTGACACCCATGCATTAGACATATGCTAAATCTTACTATTCCTCTTTAACAATAATTATGAATACAATCCTCAACTAAAGATTTACGACTAGACCAGCAACAAATGCTGCTCCATTGATAATTATGGATTAAAAACAAACAATGCAACAATTTTGTTAGACTCTGTTTTCATGTTTACATGTCAGGCATTTACCGTCCTAGCCAGGTCACTGCGAACAGCTTTCCTGTTCATCAGCTGCAACCGGATGTCTATGTCAAACTTCCTGCAGTTTTGAATATATTCATGATTTCCTAGTGGATGTTTGCTGGAATGAGACAAATAAATATAGAAAATGTAAGTAAAGGACTTTTTCCACTGTATATTACTGAGATTATTCCAATAGCAAAGATTTCTAAAATTCCTATTACCCAGATATACAGTGGTCTACACATAAGTGTCAGATACAGGTCATGATATCATTGCGCAAATTTTGACATGAGTTATGTACAGTAATTTCTGATTGTAATGGAACACAACTGATATAAATGACATAATCCATGTTGCTTCTGCAATAATGTAATGATGCATCTGATTTCACTTGCCTCCTCCTGCCCCATCTCCACATCCCCTGGGCACTCATGATTCTGTATATAATGCAGAACAAGGATATTCTACCTTTGCAACTGCTTAGCTTAGAAACAATGAATAAATCACGCACTTGGTTATACAAGACTTTATGCCTCAGTTCTCTTCCCCAAGAGAGCTATTTGCAAATTCAATCATTATTTTTATGTATGTATACTCTTTCTCTCCCTCCCTCTCTCCCTCCCCCTCTCTCTCTCTCTCACACACACACAGTTTTTCATTGTCTAGTAGAAAACATAGCAGTTAAAACTTATGATTTAAAAAGGAAAGAGATTGATTTAATTTTTGTAGTACATGATTTAAAATAAAGAAAAAACAATAACCTAACAGAAAAAGGAACATGAAACCAAAGATAACCATACCACAATTTCCCTGAAGCTTGTATCTACTAAAATAATTTGAGATTCAAATGTTTCTGCTAAACTCCAGATGCTATAAAGTCTTGGAAACAGATGTTTGGGTTTCTGCTTGCATCAGAATGAAGACTACCAAATGCAACTCCCTATTGTTCTATTGACCTATGTTCAAGATCAGACCAAGTCGTTTTGCTGACTGAGAGAAAAGACAAGAAGAGGAATGAGATACCTGCTTTGTACAAAAACAACAGAATAGTCAAAGACAACAGGTTAATTTAGAAGGCCTGGGACAGGCTATGAGGCTTGTGCAGTTTCTCCTCTAGAAAAATGAATGGTTAGAAGGGCTCAGGAGGAAAGGGGCAGTCACCTCATAGTAGTTGGAACAGGACGTCTGGCCCTTTTACCTGCTAGACTAAAAGGAAAAGTTAGGACTTATCTCTCTCCACCCTACATCCTGGCTTGCCCATCCAGCACAGCTGTCATTACAAAAAAGTGATTGTCAGGGGACAAAGAGGGGGGAGGGAGGGACAGAAAGAGAGGGTTTGTTGCTTTTAAAGTGGAGAAAGAAAAGCAGAGTAAAACAAAACTTCAAAGTCTGGGAAAAGAAGGTTTTTAAAAAGTAAGATTTGCTAGCAGAATAGTATTTCCTTTTAAGGAAGTGCTACAACAGACTTGAAAGAAACATTCGTTTGATATACTGGCAATTTGCAACACTTAATTCATTGATTGCTTTAAAAGGTATTTTTATTTTATTTTAATTGCATCATATAATCCTTTGTTCTTGGATATAGTGAATTAGAACTCAACTAATTATTAAGTATATAATTCTAGACTGGCCATCTATCATCCAAGGGCTGGAAGGGAGGCACCAGGGGCTTTTGATCCTTTCTTTTTGCCTTGTTCCATTGCTACTTTGTCCCACAATCATTTTGCATCCTACAGAAGCAAGGAGATGATCTATTGTAAGACGTGAGCATCCAAACATGTTCTCCCTCAATTTTTTTTAAAATCATTTGGGGAAGTAATAAAGAACTGCTACAACCCATTGATGAATAAAAGACAATAGTGTTTCAGCATATGCTTTTCATGACAAATATGATTTCCTTTATTTATCCAATTTTAAGGACAACTGATGGGAAGGCCAAAAGTATACCTTTAGACCAGTTTAATTAAAAGGGCTCCCAAAGAGCAGGGTGGAATCATAAAATATAAGAGGTAATGTGAAAGACTTCCTGCCAGAGGTTCAAGTTAAATATTGCTAATCAGAGCAAGCCAAATGACAAGGAAACCTATCTGCTATTAGGGAGATTTCTATATTCCAGATTCTAAGCTCTTTCCCAATTATCCAAATACAGGTACTCCTCAACTTACAACTGGTTGTTTAACTACCACTTGAAGTTACGATGGATGTTTTAAAAAGCTATTTATAACCCAGCCTTGAAATGATTACTTTCACCTTCCCATCTCCCATGGTCAAGTGATTGCATTTTGGGCACTTGGCAACTGCCTCACATTTACGACTGATTGCAGTGTACTGTGGTAATGTGTTCTGTGATTTGTGACATTTTTTTGCCATTTTCAGACAGAAAATGCCTACTGGATATGCTGGATTTCTTTAACAATCACATACTGTGGTAGCTTGGTACTCAACTGCTTTGAAACTCATTGGATTTGGTACTTAATGTATTTCGATGAGAAAATTTTGTCCCGGTACTCATAGTTTATTTCATACTTAGCACACAAGCTAATACTTATAGGTGTCATCTGCCTTGTGACTCTCTCATATTATAGCTTATGGGAAACATTTGTTTCATTGTTTTTGGTATTTATAATGCCTCCCCAAACCGATTAACAATGAGTTCCAAAGTACCACTGGAATTCACTTTAATGATTGGTGACTTGCTTGCAAAATGGTCATAAATCTTGTGTGGTCACATGATGTCTCAAGTTAGGAGCACAATGATTTATAACTGAAATCCCAAGCTCCTTTATAGTTTTAAGTCAAGGACAATCTATAATTAGCAGCTAATCAATTGCAAATCTAGTTTAGTCTCATGAATATTTGCTTTTTAATAATAATGGGGAAATGATGGAATATAGAATCTGATAGGAAGCATTAGTATATATTACAAAATCTAATTTTACATATATTTTGGTCCATTCTACCTGAAGATACCCTTGCCTTTAATACTACTAACACTGGAAGGTATAAGACAAAAATTATCCCTCACAGGCCAAACTGAATTATTAGCTTTCTCTACCGATTTTAACCAAAAAAAGAGGAAAAGATACAAGATGTTGACATTTGAACCACCACACTTTAAGTTCTTGCAGGTAACAAACAAACAGAAACAAACAAAAGAAGCATTCCTTTTATTTCCAAGAAGAGCAAGATATGCAGATTGATTTTATTTTAGGGAAACCTCATTCCTTCATGTCAGGCTATGCAGAATGCTAACTGGATAGGCCTTATGTGGGGGAAAGCACCACAAGTTAAATTTAAGCAACATTAAATTGTGAACTAGAACAGTTACATAGATTTATGGAAACAGGCATGATGTTTGAGTTATGATGCCTTTAATTTCTATCCCCTTTTTCTTTTCATCATTAACAAAATATTTGCTTAAAAGCTGGTAAAGAAAGTTGTCAGTTTCCCAGAGTTCTCCTCAAGCTTTCAAAAAATGCATTTTATAAAAACCAAACGGAAATTCAGAAACTTTGTCACTTAAAAAAATGAAGAGATTAATATTTGTCTAGAACACAGAGGTGTCAAACTCGCATCATCACGGCAGCATTACGTGACGTATCGGGACTTCTCTCCCCCTTCGCTAAACTGGGCATGGGCGTGGCCAGTGCTCCTCTGGCCCGTGGGCTGGGAGTTTGACCGTCCTGATTTAGAATGTATTTTCAGAATAAACATCCTATTCTCTCACTTATCTTTCAATGTTGCTATAATGGATTTTATAAAATGATGGCAAAATTTTGAACATACACAAGGGCACGTGCTTAAATACCTAAAAATAACAAAAATTCTTCCATTTTGTCCGAGTTTGTCATTGGCATACTCAAAAGTGGTATATGCTACAGCATTTCTGCTTTGAGTATAAAAGCAATTTATTGGTAATTGCTGAGTCAGCAAGAGAAACTACAAAATTGTTGCAAAGCTTTAAAACTGCAGCAAAGTTACTCTGGGACAGCTGTCTGAAAGAACAGATCAGCTATTCAGAAAACCAGTTTATGACCAAAGCCTTTATTCCTCCATATAGCAGGTGTGTATTACTTAGATCTAGCTGGGCTCAAGGGATAGAGGGTGCCTATCATCCAAGGCTGGGATGGGAATGATGGGAGGGCTGCTAATTGTTTTTTTTGGGGGGGATGTGAGAGACTGAAGGTTGTTTGGGGTGCTCCCCTGCAGATAGCCAGGTGTTAGCAACTTTGTCTCCTATGAGTGTTGCTTGGCAGTCCAGTTCAGGGCAACCCAATCTCCATTGGGTGAAGAAGAGGAGCTGGGAGAGCACTTCCAGGATTGCTGTGAAGATTATTCTCAATACCTGGTGGATAAAATCATTTGAATTCACTCCAAAGTGGATTCCAGCTGGGAAAGACCTATGGAGTTGATTAAGCCTCAGGCCTGTGATATAAGCTGGGATTGGTGCAATTTGGGTGTCCCCCCCCTCCCGGACTTGCTGATAGAGCATGTGCAGTTGTGGCCAGAAAGGTCTTTGTACAACTTTGTCTTTTGCACAAATTGCAGCCATTTCTGGACCAGGCGAATGTGTGTTTGTTCATTTGGTCAAGAATGCAGTAGTAGAGGTAATCATGTATGTTCCTCGTTACAACTTCATCACAGATTCAAGTGGCTTGCAATAGACCTCTGGGTACAATTCAAGGTGCTAGTCCCCACCAATAAAGAATACAAGAATATAAGGTGGTGTACTCCAGGCCTTTTCAATGTGACATTACCATCTTAGAAGACCTTGGAGGTATCTTTTCTGGGTGGGGCCTTTCACTTTTGGAACAATCTGCTCCCTGGGATCCCAAACCTGCAAGTCTTTAAAAAAGGAAATTAAGACATCTTTCTCCATATTTTGGGGTCTGGATGAGCCAAGTCCCAATAGTTGGGCTGTAGCATATTTTAGTCTGCTGCCATTTCATAATTTTAGTTTGTTTTAAATGTACTCTATTTTGTTGATGACCTTTTCTTAGCTGTGCAGTCACTTTGAGTTAGTGGCCGCATAAATATTGAAAATAAAATGAATGAATATATGCCACCTTCAAGCAGAGCTTTTCTGAATCAAATGAACCAGTATCTAGAATCTAGCTT